CGAGAACCCAAGAGAGAACCCGTGTGAATCCACCCCCCTTTCTGGTCAGCCCCAGATAATACACTAAACATGACGTGATGTGATATGGAATATTTCACTGGCACATCCAAATGCCAGTTTGGGGTTTGCTATTCACTGCGCTTCTGCCTCCCAGTCCTAATGCAGCTGTGAACAGCCAAACACGGTGACCTTGAGCTCCAGCAGCAGCTAATAACATTAGTACTTTATCAGTGATGTCCTCATAGCAAGTCTGAACTGAAACCAAAACACAGCTCTTCTAACTACTGAGAAGAAAATTAACTCTATCCTAGCAAAACCAGGACATCAAGGATGTATCATGCAAACTGGGACAAAACAGCTGCTGTTGAGTAACTTCAAGGCATAGTTGTAAAGCAGTGTGTTGCTGTCCAAAGCCACCGTATTAGTTGAAAGTAGTTATGCAGCAATAACAGACCAGATGGCTGAGGGCTTTATGCAGGCTGACCTTCTTGCTGGCTCTGAATCTAAGCAAGAGATCAGACTGGAGATCTGAATTCCTTCCCAACCCCCAATTTTTCTGAGCAGAGTTAAGCAAATTGTGCATGACTAATTCTAAAATATTGCTAAATGCCTTTTATCACCCATAAGCTGTAATTTCTGAAACAACATCTTCAACTAATTAAAACATCTCGGATACCAGTTAGCAGAACTGCTAGGAAATGTTCATGTTGACTGTGGAAAGTGGGCCAGATAAAGAGATACTGAACACCTGTGTGCTGACATACAGTGTACTCACGCTATCTCTAAAAATCTTTCCCTTGCAGTGATGCCATCCGGGAGAAGATGAAGAAAAACTACCTGTCAAATCCAAGTTACAACTATGAAATTGTAAACAGAGCGTCATTGGCCTGCGGGCCTATGGTGAAATGGGCAATTGCACAGGTAAAGTCAGTACTGTGGGAAAGCAAATGCAAGGTGAAGAGAGAGAACCAGAAGAAAACAGTGTCTGAAGGCTTTGGATTTGGCTTTGTTCAGCTAAATGTTGCAAGCTGTTTTCAAAGAAATCAATAGAAGGTTCAGATGAATGCTTTTGGGCCCTATAGTGCTATGCCAGAGAACTGGTGGCCGGTTGTGAAACAGCTTTTGCACCAAGAAACTTTAGGTAAACAATAGCTGATCCTTTCTGTAAGTAATGTAATTGTGCAGGACAATACAGTCCTCAGCTGTAAAATGCAATGCAATCCTTTTAATGAAACTTATGGAGTCTCTGTCTTGCTTCAGAGTGTGGCACACTCATGGGCAGCTCTGTTACGGTCTTTTAGGTGGACTTTTAAATACTTGACTAGTTTCCTAAAGGAATAGGCTTTTGGGAAGATGCCCCTAGACTGAGATATCCAAGGATGGTTTCACTTGCTTGCTGGTGTTCAATACACCAGCATGTTTGGCTTGTTAAAACTGTGCCTGCTGTGAATGGCATGATGTGTAGAGACTCCGTTTAGCTCAAATCTTGCCAGTAGGTCCTGTCCTAATTGTTGTGGCTTGGCTATACTAAATTCTTTACTAAGAAAGGCAGATTAGCTCAGTACTGGCATGCACACCTGTCATGGTTTTAACCTGGCTGGCAGCCAAACACCACACAGCTGCTTGCTCACCCTCTCTTGCCCCAGAGAGTGAGGAAATAAAATTAGAGGGGTAAAGGTAAGGAGATTCATGGGTTGAGAAAAGAAAAATTTAATAGTTAAAATAAAATAGTTATAAAAACAATAGAATATACAAATGAATGGTGCACAGTGCAGTTGCTCACCACCCACTGACCAGTGCCCAGCCAGACCCCAGAGGAGAGAAAATCCCGAAACTGCAGTGCTGGAAGAGAGAGCGAGCTTCCCAGCCAACTGTCATCTATATACTGAGCACGATGTTGCATGATACAGAGTATCCTGTTGGCTGACTTGGATCTGTTGCTCTGGTGGTGCTCCCTCCCAGCTTCTTGTGCACCTGCACACTAGCAAAGCTTGGGAAGTTGAAAAGTCCTTGATTTCTTAACAACTAAAAATCGGTGTATTATCAACATTCTTCTCATACCAAATCACATACTAAATGCCAAACACAACACTATTCTAGTTATTAAGAAGAGAATTAACTCTGTCCCAGCTGAAACCAGGACAACACTCAGTTAAGTATTTATGGAAAACAGTGCTGTACACTACACAATGCAGTCTTGGCCTTTCAGGTGACTTCTTGTAAGTTTACAGAGCAGTAAAAGGATCTTGCAAAAGGCAATTACTTTGTTGTTTGGGCTTGGTTTAAACTGGAGCCCTAAGAATTGATAAGGAATCTTAAGTTTCTGTTAAGTAGCTATAAATTTTTATAGAGGCTGCAAGTACCTAAGCTTGAAAAGATGCAATTGATATTATACACCTGAATGCTGTGGTGGTTCTTACCATGTGTCATTTTGGAAAGTACAAAAGGGCCTGTTTACTGTTTACAGCTGAACTATGCTGATATGTTGAAAAGAGTGGAACCTCTACGCAATGAACTGCAGAAGCTGGAGGATGATGCCAAAGACAACCAGCAGAAAGCTAATGAAGTAGAGCAGATGATTCGTGATCTTGAAGCCAGTATTGCCCGTTACAAAGAAGAATATGCAGTACTTATTTCAGAGGCTCAAGCTATTAAGGCAGACTTGGCTGCTGTAGAAGCAAAAGTAAGACTTTTATGTATTGGTAATTTTCCATTCTTTAATCTTTGACAGTAGCAAATGGAACCATTCTTCAGAGGTGTGAGCAGACTTGGTTATTTTCCCTGTGAAGTGCATCTGAGCTGTCCGTTTCATCCCTGAATCTCACAAGCTACTTAAGCTACTGAAACTTGACAAGAGTTAGAAGTATCAAGTCATGTTGCCAGTTGATTAATGAGACAGTTAACATAAGGCTTAAAATAAGTGGGACGCCTTTGGAAACAGGTGTGGATGTAGTGTAATTGTAATGTCTTAACTGGACTTTACTGGGGGGAGAATTTCTCAATGTACTGGATCTAATTACTAGCATGTCAGTACTTACACTTTTAAATTCTTCCAAATAACAATTGAATACCAACATAATAGATTAATGCTGAAGTGAAGAAACACAAATTTAATTTCATTCTGAGCTTTTAAATTTAACTTGGGCCTTGAGTCAATGTAAGTGTCCCCAGAGACGTTTAATACTGTAACAATTCACCTTCTGAAGAGACTACTTCACCACTTGTTTCTAGGTAAACCGTAGCACAGCTCTTCTGAAGAGTCTTTCTGCCGAACGTGAAAGGTGGGAGAAGACAAGTGAAACTTTCAAGAACCAGATGTCCACTATTGCAGGAGACTGCTTACTTTCAGGAGCTTTTATTGCCTATGCTGGCTACTTTGATCAGCAGATGCGTCAGAATCTGTTCACTACGTGGTCTCACCATTTGCAGCAAGCAAATATCCAGGTAACGATATGGTCGTGATAAGTTAACTATAAATCAATTTACTGTGACAGTTAAAGAAGTTTTAAGATTGCTAAGTAAAGATTGGAGCTATTGGAAAATAGTATCTCGCAGAACTGCATTTCCTCAAAACATCTTCACCAGCTAGTGGGAGAGTCTCTGGTCAGGTACTGACTGTATGTACTTCTTGCAGTTCCGCACGGACATTGCGAGGACAGAATACCTCTCCAACGCAGATGAGCGGCTTCGCTGGCAAGCAAGTTCTCTGCCTGCAGACGACCTGTGCACTGAGAATGCCATCATGCTCAAGCGCTTTAATAGGTATTTCATTCTAAGATGTAGAATTCTAAAGCAGCATTCTCACAGCAGGCAGGGTTTTGCACCTATCAAAGAATCGCAGTAGCTCTTTCAAAGCACACATCAGTGTTGTACTGATGTTTGTGAACCATGTGTAAACATAAAAAATCTCATTCATCCTTGCTTGCCTTTTTTGTTATGCTTAGCTGTTAAAATAAGTTGGCTTGAACTGAAGCTATTTTGGTGTCCAAATACAGACTTACCTTTCAAAACTGAACTGAAATAAGTCATTGAACCTGTCCGACTTATTCCTTCAATATTTAGGGGCTTTTAGAGTTGAGACTGATAATGCAACCTAAGTTCATAAAAATACTTAGAGTCTGTCTGCAGTCAAAACCCAAATAATGAAAGTGTTTTATTACTAACTTAGGTATCCATTGATCATCGATCCCTCTGGGCAAGCTACAGAATTTATCATGAATGAATATAAAGACCGTAAGATCACTCGTACTAGTTTCTTAGATGACGCTTTCAGGAAGAACTTGGAAAGTGCCTTGAGATTTGGTAACCCACTTCTGGTACAGGTTAGTTGCATGATCATGTAGAAACTATTTAAAATTCTGGAATTCTGCCCTGTGTACTAGAAAAGTTTGCAATTGTTCTCTAAGTAAGATGCAAAACTTTTATTTTCAAACTGTAATTTAATGAGTAAACTAGTACTGAGAGATATGTGAGGTGTTAGTCCTGAGAAAAATGTGATTAGTGAGATACGTGGTCAAAAGAAGGTATTTCCTTTTTCCACCATTTTGGAATCAGATGCTTTTATTTTCAAATGATCTTTCTTCCACTCTATAAAATGACTTGCAACCTGTATATTCTTTTGTTCCCATATGTTATCTCTAGGCATAGGTAAATAGCACCTAATATGGCTAGTTATCTAGAATTAAATCTATTCTGAGTAGCAGGAAGAAGTTTCAGTAATACAGAGAAACAGGCAACTGTAGGAATAGTTGACTTTCACTTGAGATGGATATATTTTTTGTGTCTTAGTTCTAAAGCATAAGTCCTATCCTAAGTGGCACAACCAACAGTTACTGTTCTCACCTGTGAGCTAATCCTTTGTTTTCCCATTTCCATACTAACACATTAACAATGCTCCCCTACTTAGATTTTGTATGGTAATAACCTACAGAACCCTGTGCTTGTGTAGCTCAACTACAAATCTGAAGGGGAAACACCTTCTGCATTTGAGCTGTATTCAAAACCAACTGCAAATTGATTGCTACCAGAGCTTTAAGCCCCAGTTGGATCAAGATTTCTAGCTTGAGAAACTTGGAAAAAACTGAATCTCTTAAGACATCTCTGCTTCTAGGATGTGGAGAGCTATGATCCAGTTCTGAATCCCGTTCTGAATCGTGAAGTCCGGAGAACTGGAGGCAGAGTTCTGATTACTCTGGGAGACCAAGATATTGATTTGTCACCATCCTTCGTTATCTTCCTCTCCACCAGAGATCCAACAGTAAGTAAAACAAAAGTCTGTCTTGTTTCTAGAAATGGTATGTCAGAGAGATGAGACAAGTTTTTCATGTTTTCTGTGGACAGGTTGAATTCCCACCGGACCTCTGCTCTCGTGTTACATTTGTGAACTTTACGGTAACTCGCAGCAGCTTACAGAGCCAGTGTCTGAATGAAGTCCTGAAAGCGGAAAGGCCCGATGTTGATGAAAAACGCTCTGACCTCCTCAAGCTTCAGGGTATGCTTACCAAAATTCAAGTAACTTGCTCCTGTTCTAAAAGAATATGGTGGGTTTACTGTAGCTGTAGAAGTACACAGTGAAATATCTTTATAAGCTGATACTCTTGCTTTTTGAGAACATCCAATGGCAAAGTATTCACAATTTGTATAATTCTTAAAAACGAACACATCTATACAATATGTAACTTAATTTGTCTTCTAATTAAGGTGAATTTCAGCTGCGCTTGCGTCAGTTAGAAAAATCCCTACTACAAGCGCTTAATGAAGTGAAGGGACGTATCCTGGATGATGACACCATCATTACTACTCTTGAGAACCTGAAGAAGGAAGCAGCAGAGGTTACCAGGAAAGTAGAAGAGACTGATATTGTCATGCAAGAAGTGGAGACTGTTTCTCAGCAGTACTTGCCTCTTTCTACAGCGTGCAGCAGTATCTACTTTACCATGGAGTCACTGAAACAGGTAGGATGCGTTCTTCTTCCTACAAAAAGCTTCATGTATTTACTGTTCAAAGCTAAATAAGCACTGCCTAATTCCAGCCCTGGCTGCTGCATTGCAGTTTGGTAGCATAAGCCATTGACTATCAAACAGCAGAACTCTAGAGAGAAAAGAACAAACTCTTTTGTCTTTCAGATACACTTCCTGTACCAATACTCTCTCCAGTTTTTCTTGGACATTTATCACAATGTCTTGTATGAGAACCCAAATCTGAAGGGAATTACAGACCATACTCAGCGTCTCTCGATCATCACAAAGGATCTCTTTCAGGTTTGATTTTTTAATTAGGAAATGTAATTCTTTAATAATTTTTGAAGGGTCATAGTTCAAGGCTTCTTACGCTAACTTCACTGTTTTGTTGGTAGGTGGCTTTCAATAGAGTGGCACGTGGCATGCTGCATCAAGATCATATTACATTTGCTATGTTGCTGGCTCGGATTAAACTGAAAGGCACTATTGGGTAAATACATGTTTTCTTGCTTCACTTTAGTTGAAAAAAGGAGGGATGTCTTGAAGGCACCTGGCTAAAGTCTTCTTTTCCCTTAACATTAGGGAGCCTACATATGATGCAGAATTCCAGCATTTCTTGAGAGGAAAAGAGATTGTACTAAACACTGCATCTCTCCCAAAAATCAATGGTTTGACTGTAGAGCAAACAGAAGCAATGATGAGGTTGAGCTGCCTTCCTGCATTTAAGGATCTTGTTTCAAAAGTTCAAGCTGATGAGGTAAGTGTTGGCTACAGTTTATTTCTGCACTGAACTACCTGGTAAAGCTTTTTGGGTGTCTGCTTTAAGAGCTTCATGCTACAAATAAGCTCTCGTAAGTATGAGAAGGGAAGCCTTACAGATTAACTAGTTGTAGTGAATGTTCTTACTTCATTTGTAATCAAGCCACAAACTTGAGTTGTAAATACCAGCATTGTTCATCATTCAGCCTTGGAAGCAGCTTAACTATTCATCTAACTTTGTGGTGAGCTTTTGTTCCTGTGGTAGCAGAAAGTGTGATACTGTGTGTCTTTTACTGTATTGCTATTGTGTGATAATTATGCAGTAGAGGGGAGCAGCCCTAGCCATACATAACATCATTATGGTGGGCTCTTGGACATTACTGTTTGGAATAAATCTGGATGGTGCTCCGCTGCTGAACGCTTTGCTCCTTCTCATGATTTAGGTGTTCTAAGAACACATCTGTGTCTTGGCTGTGAAACCATATGTTCCAAAATATGTTGGTATCCTGCCTAGTTTTTATATTAAAAACTGAATTCTCTTTGCTATGTCTGACTTTCCTCAAACTCTTCAGCCTGGAGTAAAATAACATATAGCTTGGGCTGGGACTTGGTTGAGATCTGTAGAATCAGGGGTGCTGGAGACAATGCGGAATTAGGGGATAACAGTTAAGTGATTGGTCACATCTAAAGAGAACATAATAGACAAAGCATAATTTGAGTTTTACGTGTGGATTTTTGTTTAAAAAAGCCAACAGAACTTGGATAAATTAATTGAAGAAAAATGAGTCGAGAACTTACTAAATGTGCAGGTTAAATTACAGTCTTGCTCAGGGAAGCATTCAAACCATTTATATATGAAACACTCAAACCATTTATATCTAGAAGCCTTGGAAAAGACCAAACGGTGGTGAATGTTGGACAATATTTGGGGCTAAGTTTAATGTTTGACTTAATTTCATTAATATAATAGTGCTTCATAATAGTACTTCTGTTTAACTGTGTTAGCCCTGTCTTATTTCTCAAGACTTATTCGTAGATGGAAGCTCAAATACTTCATCTGGTACCCAATCTAAGTTTTTATTCTAAAGACAGATGATAAGATAAGAGCATTAATCTTATGAACTTGTGCATTTCATTATTTAAATGTTTAGCTACTTACTAGACTTCTTCAAGATCTGTTTGCAAATCCAAAGCTAATAGAGCTTGGACTGTATCAAGTTCAACCCTACCCTAGCAATCTTTGTTTCCTACTGAAAGTTGGTATGTAGCTGAACAATTCTGCAGTACCTTAAATTCTAGATTTTAAGGCTGAGATTGAACATCTCTGTTGCACCTTGCAGCAGATTTTTGATGCCATGAAACTCCATTTCAAGTTTTTTTCTTTCAATATAGCAATTCTGTATCTGGCTGGATAGCAGTTCACCAGAGCAGACTGTACCATACCTTTGGACTGAAGAAAAGCCAGCAAGTAAGTTAAGTTGCACTACTGTCCACACTAATCCTACTGAACTGACTTTCATTCACTGAGGATGAAACGTACTTCCACAGTCTCCTTAGATTGCATAATAATTTGGATTAACTTTAGTCATTGCAGATCCTTAGGCAGCTCAATACTCTAAAAAGCTCCAAGACACAGATTTTCTGAAGACAGGGCTGGTCTAGTAGAATATTTCCTTCTGCAGTTGTATCTAAGTATGAAGTCTTAATTCTTGCTGCATTAGTTGTTAGTGCTAATTTGTTAAAAGAATTAGAACTTAAGGATAACTGTTGCCCTTTAGCTCCTCCCCTCTCTGCAAGGTAGTGTTAGGAAGTGTTGGCTGTCTGTGATCGCTCATTCCTGTAGGTGGCTTTCTAAATTAAGGATTCTAAGCTTGTATTAACTAGCTACCATAAAACTGCTTGACCATTAATTGAAGCAACTCTAGGTTATCTATCCTGTCCATGCTAGACAAGTATATACTACTTCAGAATCTAGCAGAACAGCAGATTATTGAATGAGTGATAAGATGTGAAGAGATCTTTTGTCCCTGGAAGTTAAAATCACTTCATGACAATGCTTCTAGACTGTAGATTTTGTAAACCAGTAGCATTTAAGTAGAATCCAAAAGCATCTTGTCAAGGTAGGCTTTTAAAGGGCTCACAACATGAGCAATTGAGCAGATAATTCAAATGTTGCAGAAGACAAACCAACTGAAGACGGTAAGTTTCTTTTGACTGTCAGAGTGCAGACAGAATCTAAGCATTCCATTAATATGTTGCAGCAGATCTTTCAATGGGCTAATTAACTCTCTAAATAACTGTTTTTCGGAACAAGATGGGAAAAATTGAATGGTGAACTGAGAAGAGGAAGGTGTTGAGGATGGTTTTCTTCCCTGTCCATCTAATCCTGTTTCCCCTTTTTCAGGTCCTATTGGACAGGCCATTCATCGCTTGCTTCTGATCCAGGCCTTCCGTCCAGATCGTTTGTTGGCGATGGCACATACCTTTGTTTCAACAAATCTTGGAGAGTCTTTCATGTCCATTATGGAGCAGCCTTTAGATCTGACACACATTGTAGATACAGAGGTAACTTGCTTGTTTTTGACAAGCTAAAATCCTGAGGTGATGCTCAATGCCACCCTGATAAGTTCCATAGTGAGTAAAGCTATCCACTGGAAGATGTCTTCCGCTTTCCCTTCTCCCCAGGGTTTGAAGAATGGATTCTTTTCCTATTTGTTAATGTAAAACTAAGCCTAGCATAATGTCTTTAGCTGGCCAGAGGGAAGAAAAACCAAGCTCAGTGCATTCCTGTATTCATGTAGTGACTGATTTGTATCCTTTTAAACTTCTCGGACAATAGGTGAAACCTAATACCCCTGTGCTGATGTGTTCAGTGCCTGGTTATGATGCCAGTGGTCATGTTGAAGACCTTGCAGCTGAACAGAATACACAGATTACTTCTATTGCTATTGGTAAGAACATACTGTATTTCATCATCTAAGCATAAATGAAATTGTTAGCAGCAAGAGCTTTAGCAACCTTCTGTCTTTTAGGTTCTGCTGAAGGGTTTAACCAAGCAGATAAAGCAATAAACACAGCAGTGAAGTCTGGAAGGTAAGTTCTATCTCCTTTTTAGGTAGAATACTGCCTAGCAGAATTGTAAATGAGGTGGGAGGGGAAGGTAAATAATCTATTGGCTAAATTGGTAAAACTAATTAAAAAAAAATTAGGGACGATCTTCTGAACTGAAATTTGTAATAACTTAAGCACAGCTCTTCACAACTTAAATTTGATTTAAATTTTTTCAAGAGAAGTAGGTTGTATCTGCAAAACAGAAAAGTTAGCCCATTTACAGTAGCCAGTAACTGATTCTATGTAGAGCACAGGTTTCAAAGAGGGAGGAAAATCTGTGGCATTAACACCATATTCTGTTACTCTCTGTGGTGATTGTAGCCAGGACCCATAAGCTCTACACTAAAAAGCACTTGTTCTTTTTCAAAACTTCACAGATGGGTAATGCTGAAGAACGTTCACCTGGCTCCTGGCTGGCTCATGCAACTAGAAAAGAAGCTGCATTCCCTACAACCCCATGCTTGCTTCAGACTCTTCCTTACCATGGAGATTAATCCAAAGGTAACATTGATCTGAAATTTGGTGCTCTAGTAGAATAACTAACTTGCAGAGCCAACAGTGCTACCCAGGGAAGGTTTTCTCATTACTGCCTTTCTGCATTAAAGAAGGAGGGGAATTCCTTTTGCTGCTTCCTCTACCCTCCCAAAGAAAGGCAGGACTTCACTGTGTGAGCTCACAGTGAGGTTTTGAATCTAATGCAAACTGTGCTGTTAGAGGGATTTAATTTAGTGAAGGCTAAAGGAGTTGGATTTGAGTTTGTTAATCTTCTCCCTTCCAGGTGCCAGTGAATTTGTTACGTGCTGGCCGAATCTTTGTGTTTGAACCTCCTCCTGGTGTAAAGGCAAACATGCTGAGGACTTTCAGTAGCATTCCAGTTTCTAGAATGTGCAAGGTAAGGCTGAGGCTTGTGTGGGTGAAAGGAGATGTCAGAATGTGTTTGTTAAAGTCTTGCCTTAGAAAAAGATGATAAAACTTCAGCTTCTAAGATGTACAGAGAATGTTTTGTTCTCACAGAAGTAAAGTAGTAATTGCTCCTTCTGTTAGTCAAATTTATTCAGTTTTGGTTGCAATCTGGCATTAAATCTGATCTTTTCTAGCCTTTTAGCAAGCTTTGATTATCAGTTGACTTGCATAAGTGTATTTTTTTTGTCTTCACTTCCTAGTCTCCAAATGAGCGTGCTCGTTTATATTTCCTCCTTGCCTGGTTCCACGCTATTATCCAAGAGCGTTTGCGCTATGCTCCGTTGGGTTGGTCCAAGAAGTATGAATTTGGAGAATCTGATCTGAGATCTGCTTGTGACACAGTAGATACATGGCTGGATGATACAGCAAAGGCAAGTATTTTCCTGTACTTAGTTACAGGTAATACTTAGATTAATTAAGATCTTCAGTGAGACAGTCTGTTCTGGAAACATTTAGTAAGTTAGATGACTTAAGCTAAAACAACCTGGTGACGATTTATCTTAGTTCTTGAATTTGATTCCTCTATCAGAGGAGAGGTGAAAAGGATTGTTTCCTGCTAATTACATTGCATTTCATTTATAGGGCCGCCAAAACATTTCACCTGATAAAATCCCCTGGTCTGCGTTAAAGACACTGATGGCACAGTCTATCTATGGAGGCCGCATCGATAATGAATTTGATCAGCGTTTGTTAAACACTTTCTTGGAACGTCTGTTCACTACTTTAAGTTTTGATAGTGAATTCAAACTGGCTTGCAGAGTTGATGGACACAAAGATATTCAGATGCCAGATGGAATCAGGTATCATTTTTTCCTTATCCTAATCTCTATGTACAACTTCTCTTTTTTAAAATTAAAAAAAAAACACAAACAAACAAACAAACCCCCCACACCCAAAAAAAACCCTAACCTGTATCTCTGTGCTGGCATTTAGCTGTGTAAACATTTGTCTCAGGCAAAGAATTACCTTGTCATTCTAATAGTGGAAGCCTTCTAATGGATATTAAAACTCTTGACTTGCAGGCGTGAAGAATTTGTCCAGTGGGTTGAGATGCTGCCAGATACACAAACGCCATCATGGCTGGGCCTGCCAAATAATGCAGAGAAAGTTCTTCTCACCACACAAGGTAAAATTGGAACTGTACTGATGTGTTGCATAGATTATCAGGCCACGATTTTAACTAAAAAGCAGAAGAGAAATATAAATCCTGATGAAGAGTTGATAGCTTTCCCTTCCTCCCTCAATGTAGTTGGTTTAACTTCTGCAAAGTAAAACACTGGAGCATCCAGAAACTGACCAGAAGCTTGGGAATTAGACATTCAGCCTTCCAGATATCAAGCTCCCATCTTGATTCTGGAAAGCTTTTTTGTGAACTCTGGAGCCACCTACAGTTCTATATCTTAGGTCTAGACTAGGGAAAAAAAAAAGCCTTACTTCTTGCATGTTTTCATCTTGATGCCACTGCTTGACTGACTAAGAGCGTATCTTCTGTTTTAGGCATAGATATGATCAGTAAAATGCTGAAAATGCAGATGCTAGAGGATGAGGATGATCTGGCTTATGCAGAAACTGAGAAGAAGACAAGAACGGATTCTACATCAGATGGTCGCCCAGCCTGGATGAGAACACTGCATACCACAGCCTCTAACTGGCTTCACCTTATCCCACAAACTCTAAACCATCTGAAGCGAACTGTGGAAAATATTAAAGTAAGAACTAGGTTTTGTCTAACGTGGGCATAGGAAGTGCACAAGTTCTGGTACGTTGGAACAAGTGCGTTGTGATTTGCAAGTACTGATTAAACTGTTGAGAGGCCACTGGAACCTGTATTGATGCTGATTCTGACTGCCATGGTTATGTAATGCCCTGCTAGGTTTCTTTGCTCTTAAAAGTTGGTTTATGTATTCTGGGGATTATTTGAAGAAATACAATGGCAGACTGTCTATCCAGTGTACCACTTCTGAAGCTTCTCTGTGATCAGGTAGCAAGAAACATGTGTTTCCTGTTGTACTCGTAGCACACTGACTGCTGCCTAAGGGTATTGCCTTTACAGCCAGTGCACATTACTGCTAAAATTTAGTGATGGTCAGTGAGGGGAGACAGTGCAGCAGTTTCTGCTAACTGGGAACAGACATAGCGAGGGCTGGAGAAAACTTTTGAGACCTGGACAGTAGTACCCTAAGCTCTAAGTCAGGAATAAGCTCCCCAGTTGAATATGCCCACGATTGCCTAACTGCTTCTAAAGACTTACTCTGGCATAGTAGGTGAGACCCTTTTGTTGCTTATTAAAAGAAATCCAGTTAATTGGAAGGAGCTGCAGCAGGCAGTCTGCATTAATTGTTCAACTGAGACTTCTATTTTCTTGCTTCTTCAAGGGGAGGAGATTGTTGGGTGTAAAACAGCCTCTGCAGTCACTTTCTGCACCATAGACAGCATCTTCATGTTTAATGCTTGTAGTCACAGTGTCACTGGTCAGTCCATCCAGGATTTGGGGGTTGCTTTTTATAGCAGTTTTCCAGCAACAATCTTGAACTTTGATCTGCAACTTGCTTTCAATGTTTTGACAATCAGGATCCTTTGTTCCGATTCTTTGAGAGGGAGGTGAAAATGGGAGCTAAGCTGCTTCAGGATGTTCGTCAGGACCTCGCAGATGTGGTTCAAGTGTGTGAAGGAAAAAAGAAACAAACCAACTATTTGCGTACACTTATAAATGAACTGGTGAAAGGTACGGTAATTCAAATAATCATCTCCCAGTGCTCTCTTTGCTTCTTGCACTCTGTAAGTTAGAGGCCATATGTTCAGCAGCTTAAAAAGAAATGGCAGGGAAATTGAGATTGACTTTACTGTTTGACACAAGCAGTACTTTTGAGTTGAGCATAAAGTTCCACTTGGTTTCATTTGGGATTTCAGGTCGAGGTAGCTAATATTGGGCTTTTTTATACAGTTTATATCAGCAGCTTAATTTCTAAGCTAAAATCTTACTAAATTATTTCAGCCTCTGAATTGTGATGGAACAAAGATACTTATACCACAAAGTGAGTAATATTGCTCCTATAAAATCTCCTAGAAAATATTTAAGTTCAGGATTGTACATAAACATGTATCCTGCTTCTAGCAATACATGAAGATCTGCTGTCTGCTTTCAGCTAAAGCATTTCCTGAAACACAGATACTTGGCCTCTTCAGTTTTTTCTAAAGAACTCAAATCTTCATGAAAACTTGACTGTCAGTTACTGCTGTATATAGCTGTGTGTAACTGAAGTTGCTGTTGAAGAGTTTCTGTAAATAAATAGTAGACCTGGAGGCCATTTGCTTTGCAATGTTTGAAAGTGCTTTCACTTGCTGAGGAGCCTTTCAAGATGGAGGCTGATACCCTGACCCAAATCTTAAATGGCTATGGGGAGAAAAAAATGAAGTCAAAATAGTGTGTCATTCCAACTTGTATGCAAACAAAACTTAATTCTCATACCATTTTCCGTAGGTATTTTGCCTCGTAGCTGGTCGCATTACACTGTGCCAGCTGGTATGACTGTTATTCAGTGGGTGTCCGACTTCAGTGAGCGCATTAAACAGCTGCAGAATATTTCCCAGGCAGCTGCTTCTGGTGGAGCAAAAGAACTAAAGGTATCTTGTGCTTTCTAGAGGTTATTGATGGAGCTGTGTAACTACTTCATAGAGTCTTCACATCAAGGCTTCTAAATAGTTCCTCAGGCAAAACAATTTCAGTCAGTGTTCTCAGAAAGGTGCTTGTAAATACTGTTGAGTATTTCCTGATCTCAAAACGGTGAGGCGTAGCAGACTGACTGTTCACACACATTAGAGGGAAATCTAGTATTGTGGAATGACAGAAATGTAGCCTTAGAGCAAAAAGCAGTTCAGCAGTTACACAGTGTTCCAGTAGCAGCAGAAAAATGTTAATGTAAATAGATTGCTGAAGTAATATTTATGATAATCATTAATTAATACTGCAGCTGATACCCTTTATAATTTCTTTTTTTTTTTTTTGCCCCTCAAATAGAACATCCACGTGTGCCTTGGTGGTCTGTTTGTACCAGAAGCGTATATTACTGCTACAAGACAATATGTTGCCCAAGCAAACAGTTGGTCCCTTGAAGAACTCTGTCTTGAGGTCAATGTTACAACTACACAGAATGCAGTACTGGATGCTTGCAGCTTTGGAGTCACAGGTAAACTTACCAGAAAGAAAAGAAGGTCCTTGCTCTAAAATATTTCCAGAAGCTTCTGGTATTAAATGAAAAAAAAAATCATATCACTGAAAAAGCTAATACACACTTTTTGAAGTTGTTTAAAGATTAGTTTGAAATTAGTAAGGAAGTACTTACAATGCTAATAAATCTCAAGACTCAGGTCAGTATATATTTAAGCAGTACTGGATAGTGTATCTGTTGCAACCTCTTTATTTTGCAGTATGAAATATTTACCTCTCATTTAGTGGACTTAGCCCATAAATGATACATAGGGAGACAATCTTTGGATGTATGAAAAGCTCTTAGAACTCTAAAGCGTATTTCAATTTACAGGCCTGAAGCTTCAGGGAGCTACATGCAGTAACAACAAGCTGTCACTTTCCAATGCTATTTCAACTGTTCTGCCCATTACACAGCTTCGCTGGATCAAACAGACAAATGCTGATAAAAAAGCAAATGTTGTAAGTATTGATAAAAATAATTTTAAAAAGAACTTTCATTATTAGATATACCTAGCAGTTTTTTTCCTGAAGCTTTATGAATACTTTCATTGGGCACCACAAATCAAATTGTTCTTTTCTCGTATTCCCAGTGTCAGTTAGTACCTAAATTCTGGGCTAGCAGCAAACAGGCCTAGTTTTGACTGTGTCTTTCCTTTGTAGTTAGATAATAAGGAGAAGAGGCATCCAAAAATACTAATGCTGTTCAGGCCAAAACTTGAATTTACACCTGTAAAGAAAGCTGTGCTTCAGGTGAATTTATTAGGCCTGGGTTTGTTTCTCATATTTTGAGTATCTCAGACTAAATGCCCATCTCCTACATACCATATTAAATGACAGAAACTTTCTTATACTATTCTTATACTATTCAGTTACCTTATGTAACTCTTCTTCTATATTAATGTTTTTCCCCAGGTTACTTTACCAGTTTATCTGAACTTCACTCGTGCTGATCTGATTTTCACGGTTGACTTTGAAATAGCTACCAAGGAAGACCCTCGGAGCTTCTATGAACGTGGTGTTGCAGTTCTCTGCACTGAGTGAAAAGATTTCTTTTTACTGGTTAATGCTGTAGTAATTGTCAGTCTTTTCTGTAGTATTCACCTGTGCTTTTGTAACCTGGTTAGGTTAGGTTCTCAGATGGGTTTGTGCTAAGTTGAAAGAAAGAGGTCAGTGCATTGGAAAGCTGATAGGCTTGATGTCTGTGAAGGAAAATTGGATGAGATTTTTAGATGGTTTGGGGTAAATGTGATATTTGATGGATCATGTTATATGAAATAAAATCTATAGCAAGACTTTTGACTCTCTGGAAATATAATTCTTACAGTGATTTTTTTTTTGGTCTGCAAAAAACTGTACCTATGATCTTCTCAGAGAATAACAAGTAATAAGTTGGTATTGAAGCATATTGTTGACCTTCACACAGCTCACTCAGCAACTGGTTCAGCTAACCTCCAGCAGCAAGAACCTTGGACTGTCAGTCTTCAGTGCAGTAAGGGACAAAGCCTGACATTACCTGCTATGACACCTGATGCCATTGCATGAATTATTTGTAATGAACTGGCTGTTGCTTGAAGTAACCTGTGTTTACACAGCTGCTGAGATGCACTCGGAAGCTAGAGGATCCTAAACAAGACTTTCTTGTCCTCTTGACCACAGGGCTTTCTCTTTCTTAAATGCTTTTATGATGAAATAAGCCTCCAGCGTCATGTCTCATTAAGCCCAGGAGGCTAGTATTCAGTGCTTAAACAGGGAGTTACAATATTATTTCAGAGACTCATGTGTGACCAACCGTTACCAAATTAGGGGAGCTGAGAGTTCCTGCTAATTGCTTGGGTTTGCTGTAATGGTTGGGGTTTTTGCTTGCTTTCTCTGATCCTTAATTGGACTAGATCCAACTGATCTAGTTGAAGACGTCCCTGTTCACTGGAGGGGGGCTGGACTAGATGACCTTTAAAGGTCCCTTCCAGCCCAAATCTTTCTACGATTCTAAATTCATTGGGTGAGCATTTCTGCCCTTCTGACCATTCTCTCAGAACAAATGTCCTCTCCAACAGCGGCTAGTATCAAGTGTTCAAAGGTTCATATAGAATAATACAGGTGCATAGTTTTTCAGTCTCAAAACAGAAATCTCAGGAGTGAGCTCCTTCCTTCCAGTGATTTCTCCTATGAAAAAAGTGACTTTCTGAACCTGCATCAACTCTTAATATTTTTGCCTGTGGTAAGTGGTTCTATAGCAACATATTTCACCTTGCCTCACATACTTGTTTCAGCTGATGCCTACTGGTTACTAAAATAATAGAGAATTCTTGCTGCCTACCTTCTCTGTACTGTTTTGTGTAGTTAATCTCTGTAGGTTGAATTAACCTGGCTGGTTTTATTACTTTATAAAGAATGAATCCCAGACCAGTGCACCATTGTAATCTCTGTGTGCTGCTTGCAGTTCTCATATCCAGTTGTGAGGAACAGAGATGGGAACTACGTGCATTGTCCAAGATCAGTTTTAACGATCCTTGTTCTGTTTCAGCTTCTATGAGTTGCTTTCCCTTCTTTCCATCACCAGAATACTAGCAGCTGGAAGTCACACCATCACTCCCTTCTGAGTCATTTCAAGTACATTGTACAGTACGGAAGCAGACCTCCTCCTGCTAGCAGTGTGCTCTGGATACCAGTTGCAGTGTGAAGTTACTAGAGCTTAAAAATGTAAGAGTTTGAGGAATTAGTAACTTGGCTAAACACACACCTTTCTTTCAAGCAACTTACTTTTTGTGCATAGCTCAGCACTGGGGCTGTGGTACCTACCAGCCTCCAGCTACCCTAAAAATCTGCAGTTAAACCAGTGCCACCTCTTAGCAAGTATTAATGATGAAATCAAGAGAGGCTTAAATACACTTGAAGTAGCCAGAGCTTCCTAAACCATTCAGCTCTTTATATGTTAACAACTTCTGCATTAGGCCTGAACTAACAAAAGGTGCATTTTCAGTTCAGAAGTTAATCCCCGGCTGGATTCTCATACAGAATAAGCAGACGTGGAATGTCTGAGTAGATGCTGTCCCATGCGGCTGACCCTTCAAGTTATTTCTTTCCTGATTGTTCCTGCATTATTTTTTCCTAGTGGCTTATTTATTTCATTATGGTGTGTTAAACAACTGGTTTAAGTGAAATCCTCAATCGATGAGTTTAGCGTTGTTGTCTGCAGTTTGCAGGTCCGTAGTTGAGTTTTATTTCACCTCAGACACGGTGGTTGAAGACCATTCAGCAGACAGCCGGGACTTAAAAGAGTACAGCTTCCCTGACATGGGGCTGAAGGGCTCAGCTGCAGCACAATGTTGTACTTTTGAAGCTTTTTACAAGTCTTATTTCGAGGGAGATCTGTGGCCTGGTTGCAGTACACACAAATCTATACCTGCAAGGGGTTTTTTTAATGCAATTAACAGTATTCAGTGCAGTGTTCTTTGCTGCTAGGGCAGGTCAGAGGGCAAGCACAGTAGCTTGTGTCTTAGAGCAATGGCCTCTGAAGCTTATTTATTGTTCTACCCAGTTTGTTTCCAAGCTGATTAAAAACCTGGGGATAAAGATGAAAGAAAAGTTGCTTTGATAAAATATATATGCAGCTGTTAGTGGAAGGGTTCAAGGCTAGAATTTAAGTAGGATTTTGAGTGGCTTTCCACCTTATGAAAGAAACTGCAAATTAAAAAACTGCCAGTCACCCAACTTTATTTCAAGCCATCTTTATACTTTCATAAATAATAGTTCCCCTTCCATCTAAATGGACTATCCAGACTCTAAAGGTGATAAAAGAAATTACCATCCAGGAGAGGGGGAATCACTGATACAGTTTTTGCTGACTAACTGGCCTCCCATTGGTGTGCACCACTTCTGCAGCTCCTCAGTGATTGTTCTCACTAAGGAAGAGAGCTTTCAGCTCGTGTGTTCAACTTCACGTTGTAAATTCTGAACTGGCAGGTGTCCTGAGACTCTATACCTAAAACATCGTTCAAAACAGGTACTAACAGATGTGTTCATAGCACAAGTCCAACTTCTCCCTGTTTAAAGGGGGAAAAAAAAAAAAAGCTAGCTTGTCTTTAGTTGCACTCAGTTCAATTTAATGCAGTTCAGTTTTTTGTAGGTTTTTTTTTTAGTTGATTCCATCTTTTTAGGTAGATCTCAAAGCTTACAGTGCAGCTGCATCTGTAACAGGCTTGAGCTCGTTTGTTCAGAGCTTGTTCAGTTCAGGTACCATCTGCAGAAGAAATCTCCACCGGGTTCATTGCTCAGAACAAACAGTTTGTCCAATTATTTATTCATACCTCAGATTAAGTTGTACGGAATTTCTTTCTTAGTTTTTCACTAGCACCCTCTGGAATGGAAATCCCTTGTTTTCTTTTAATTAGGGGCTGTTTGGCCCTTGTGCCATCACAGTCAGCTGGTGGTATGGGTTGTGGAGCACTGTCACCTGGGCTTGCAAGGAGATCTGCAGAGCCCGAAGGGTTAATGCTCATCAGTAAGGAATGGTCAGGTGTCAGCCACGTGGAGGTAAATGCTTCTGTGGCTCTGGTCAGCTCAGATGATTGCAACAGGCTTCTCAGGAAGTCCTCCTCTTGGCTAGGAAGTTCCAGGGGTGCTTTACAGTCATTTACTGCCTGAATTTCACAGACTTTTGCTTCTGGGCAAAGCCAGTCTAGATACTTAGGGAAGGACTCTTCATCTTCTGAAGTATCAGCATCCTCCAAAGCCATTGCTTTTGGGGCACTGTTCACCCATGGTGCAACTTTTATACTATTTAAAGAATTCAAGCTACAGTCAGAGAGAATGGAGGCATCTTCTGAATCACCATCATAAGGATCTAAAAACTAAAATAAAGTTCTCCTTAAACATGGTGGATGCTTATTCATCCATAAAAAATTACAGGAGTCAGCATATAGTGGGCTTTAAAACCACTTTCAACATAATTCACAGAATTATTATGGAAGTTTTTCTACTTGTCCATACATTCCCACCTATATTTTAATTTTTGGATGCTACACTGAGAACAAGACTGCTGCATAACAGCCAAACCTACTTGCAGTTCCCTGGAGTCCCTTGCTTTCCTGAGTCCTCCAGCAAGCAGGCTAGGCACAACCTATTTAAGAGAAGTTGGCATAGGTTTATAAAGCACCTTCTTTTGAATTATTGATCAAAGTAAAACCAGAGCAGGTAAAAATCCTAGAGAAGAGGAAGACAGATTGTCCTCTTGCTGAAAGATAATTAAAAAGTGTATCTCAGGCTAAGTTTTAAAGGCCTGGTAAAGTTATCCTAACAAAGAGGGACTGAGGAGAGCTCTGGTAAATCTTACTGCACTTAAAACATGGCTATAAAGAGAACAGTGAGTACCTGGACACCTTACCACCAGAAAAGTAAACCAAATCTGCATTTATGTAATAGTAGACAAGATATAACTTAGAGAGCTTCCCTCCCACTCGGGCCCCTTTTTGTTCTTTTGCGGAGGGATGATCTCAAATTCTCCCTCATTAGTCAGATTACAAATTTGCTGTCCCTTGGAGAGTTCTGTAACTAACACAATCAAACCGAGTCCTTTCAGTCAGTCTCACTATCGCTGCTGTAACACTGAGGTTTCAGGCTTCTTTTCCCCATGTGGTTAAACACGGACTTGTCCAGACCTGGATAAAGAACTTCACTAATTTACGCTTGAGAAGCACATCATTCTGAAATAGTGCTTATGGGCTGGGATTATTAAAAGAACAAAAAAAAGCAGCCATGTAGGGAGAGTCCCTTTTAAAAGCAACCACAGGTACAAAGCAGTCACACAAAGGGAAAAAAAGGTTTACTGCAAGAAAAGTTCTCCTTCCGAAGGCTCCACCACAGCCGCTCAATGAAGCTGCCAGTCATTGCTGTGCTTGCTTACTGCAGGGAAGGAGACTCTGAGCACAGCTGGTGCAGGCAGGGCTTGGCAAATCCAGACTCCTCCCAACAGGAACTTGAGGGCTTTAGTGGAGGAGCTTAAATCCAAACCCATTTGCAATGGTGTGTCCTTGTGCCAGTTCAAGGGCACAGCACAGACACACGCACACACAAGCCAGTGGGTAATGCTGGACAACGAAGAAAAGCAGTTTCTGCTTCTCCAACGAGCCCAGGAATCCCCTAGTCCTGGCCTGGCACCTGCCTCAGCACCTCTGGTGAAAGCAACCAGCTCCTTGTCCAAGCTGGAAGCTTTGCAAGCCCCTCTTCCACCCAGCCCAGCTATCACAGTCCAGCCAGGCAGCTTGACTTCCAGCCTTGTTTCTCCCAGAAGG